CTAACCGACGCTCAGAAGATGGATGCACCGAGTCTGCCGAACTTTGACTTTGCCGACCAGGGACTGGATTACGAGAGCCTTACGCTAGCTCGGATGAGGCGCGCTGAGAGGGAGAGGCTGGAGCGCGAGATTAGGGAGCAGGAGGGCGAGTAGGGTCGGTGATCCATGATGATTGTGTGTACTTGTGCTGTCTCTTGGGTGTGGCAAGAGCTCATACGCTAGATGTCCATGTCAAGACAGGAAGTATGGATCCGCAGTAGGTTGGGATCTTTATACTCGGAAGATGAACGGTCATCACGCTGGCAGTCTTTCACACAGATCTACGATGCGGTTGAGGTACACAAAACTGACGCTCACATGCGCATCATGACCCTCTGTCATGGAATCGACATCTTCCTAGTGCAGGCGAAGAGAGACATAGGCAGCTTCTCTGGATTATAGCACGGCGCGAGAAGTGTTGTTATCCCAACACTGCCAATGAAATGTTTCGTCACATATCCAGCTGCTATGTGATTGAGTGTGGTGAAAAGCGGCCAGAGCACTCGCGTCGTTCGATGGAACGTACAAGTGTACAGTTGGCAACATTGTTCTCAGCTTGTAGTACTGTCCTAATCATTTAGCCTGTGTTCCTCTTTCGCCTCTTGCTGGACGCCTTCCCTTTCGCCTCCGCCTCGCTACAATCCCCAGTCGTTTACCCTTCCATTGGGTCCCAATTTGGCCAAAACTCGTCGCTTTCCTCGGCCCCGGGATCCATCCCTTTGAGAATGGCATCATCCTCGTACACCGTCCCCGCATCTAACTCCATGTGCAATGCAGACCGCCACACGTCCGGATTCTGCTGAACAGCTTTCAGTGCCAAGAAAGGCACATAGATGTCCCATGTCAGCATTTCATTGTCGTAGTCCTCGTATTCCATCACCGTCACCTGCGCTTCGTTGGATTTCAGTGAGAGGACCACTCGTATAACAGGTATGAGTTTCAGTTCGGGTTCGGGTTCGCCTTCCTCTTGACGTTTTCCTTTCCCTTGAGAGCTCGACTTGGTGTCATCCTCATCCTGCATTTCGGCCACAATTCTATCCATCTTCTCGAAAACCAGTTCCTGGGGACTTTGCATACTAGCGACAGCCTTAACTTGAATCAACATTGAGCTGGTGTTGTCCCGCGCGATCTCGGTTCCATTGATAGTGCAGGGAAATGCAGCATCTATACCGTATTGCCCGAACTGCGTAGAAATGCCGGCGCGTCTCGTAAGGTATCGATACCATGACTTCGGGCCCGGGACGCTCCCGCGAATCTTGATGATGTGATTAAAGTTACCGTATGAGTTCTCGAATGTCTGCTGGAAGCTCTTGATATGGAACAATCGACCACGTGATGCTCTAGACTCCTTGAGCTCCTTCCACGAGATAGGAGTGAGCAGGCTCTCGAAGAAGGCAGGTATCGAAAATTTGCCTTCGCGAGTGGAAGCATCACTGGCGAGAACAAGAAGGAGCTCGGCCACCATCTCCCCCCGTTCACCCACGCCGATTCCGGGAGAGCGCAAAATCCCTTTGAGGGCATCTGCTACATTAAAAGTGGCCATTGCACCCTTGGCGCCCTCAGAGATGATTGGCTCGCCCGGAGATCCGGTTATGAGTGTTTCGTTCTTGTTTGTTATTCTGTAAAGCACACGCATGTGCCGAGCAATCTGCCGATTTATCGACGTGAGGGCTGCACCTGTGTTCGTGCGAATATCGATGGGAATCCGTCGTGATAAAATCGCCAGCTTTTGCTCATCATCGAAACCCGAGGCAGCCGAGCTGCCGAGCAGCTTCTCCCTCGCAAAATCTACCAAGCTGTCGCCCACGTCATTACCGACGCCGTACTCAGCCCGTTTGCGAAACCTTCAGACCATGCCAAGTCAGCAATCGCTCATCTCCCCAAGTATGGGCAAGGTGCTTACAATATTCTCGACTGCTTGCACATGAAGTCATCTTTGCCCACCACGGTCAAATCCATCTCATCTGGTTGTACCCGTGCCATGTTGAAGGGAAATCTGGTGAATGCCGGAAAGGTGTGATACTTCCCTGACTGCATTCGGGTTGATGGATCGAACCGCATCGGAGAGTCGAATTGTGTGACGCTGGCAGATGTTGAGAGGAAACATGCCAGGAAAGAGTTCTCGTTCAGATAGCGCAATACTCGGCGCAATACTGAGTAGACGGAATCAATCTCCCCATCGTCATTTGCAACTGTTCTCAACAGTGTGTGAGCTTCATCAAATGCGAGCAATACAGTTGGTAGAGAGTCATCATGACCATGATTCAATAAGTCTGAGAGGTTTTGGAATGAAGCTATCATATCAGACTTGCAAGTGTTGTCTCTGGTTGACAGGCGAGGCGACTGATTACCCTGTGTTTTCCACGTAGAACCCTCTTCTTTCAGTGCGAGTTCCGTCGCCTACTGTAGATGAGCCAGAATGTTCATGCACACGAGAAGAATAACTTCATACGGACCAGTTCTGATTTCTTCACCACACGTCTGAAGAACTCCACCCGTGTTGGGCTCGGTTCACTGATATGAGTCCAGGTCGCCATGTATCCCCGAAACCAGTTTGCCAATTCGGCATGTTTTGCTGTCCCCAATCGTTCTTGTCCATGCCTTAGTACCTCGGCCAATTCGTCGAAGAGTATCTGGAGAAAGCACATTATGGCGGTGTGGCAGTCCTTCAGCTTCCTCGGAAACAAGAAGTACGTCAGCACATCGTTGTCTGCAGGAGGGAAGCCTGTAATAGTCGACTGCTTAGCACTACAATCTCGCACTGCGCAGTAAGACGGCATACCACCGCTGGCATCGCTGAGCACAAACAGAATGGTAAACAGAGTTTTCGATGATTCGTCAATCATACGGGTCTTGCCCATGCCAGAAGAATTAGCCACCACAAAACTTTTCGCGTAGAGATTCGATGCGGCTGCGCCCATGAAAGCGGCAGTCCTGAGGTGACTTTGAAAGCGACGCACGGCATCTCCTTCATAGTCAGAGGTCCATGACTTGATCGTGGCTAATGCAAGTGTTACGTCAGAAAACGAAGGTAGCCTCAGGCGGTAAAGACATACCCTCTGCTTGGGCTCTGGCCGAAACCACACGCATCATGGACTCTTTCCTAGCATCCGCAACTTTGGGAGGACGAATTGTATCTGATGGTTAGGGAAAGGAGAAATAAGCCACAAGGCACAAGGAGCACGCCACGTAGACACTCACCATAGAACTTGCCCAATTCGGTGGCGAGGACTGCTGGGTCTCGTTGAACTGCCCTCACGATCTCGAGTGCGAGCTGTTGCAGCGCGGCCGAAATTTCCTCCCCCTCTTCGATTATTGACGATAGCAGTTCGTTCCTAAGCTCTTGTTCTAGCTCGGTCTTTTCATCCCCTTCCTGGACCTTGTTTAACCATCCGACATTTCTTATCCACGAGCTGCGCGAGTGCATCCAACGTATTACTTGGCGAGTTTCAAGCTCCGAGTCGACATCAGTTCGAAGTATCTTGGAAGGCAGATTGTGCACATTTGATTCTTCATTCCATGGGCGTTTGAGTCCCCTTTCCGGTGCCATCGTTTAGAATCTGTTGACCACAATATGTGAAAGCTGGCACGGGCAGGGAGGGGTAAGCGCTGCGCCATCCTCAACTCAACTTCAGCAGTACTAGTAGTTTTCGCGTCCAATTCTCTGGACTTTTGCTCCACTGCCAGATCCATCTGGTTCGGTGACAAAGGGAGACAGACAATAATAGTCATGAGCTTGGTTGCCTTTTTGTGAAAGGTTGGTGCAGAGTGAGCAGGGTTCTTCGACCATGACTCGGAAGCTGATAGTGTGCCGCTGGTTACATATGGAAATGTGGCCAGCTCCAGGACCGGTTCATTCAGGTAAAATCAAGGCAATAGTTGTTTTGCCAACCCAGATATCCTTTAATGGGCGCGACGTGGCATCTCAATGAGCAAGTGGAGCGAGTGAAGATCAAACCACTTGCCGGTTACTCCATATGGCTCATTTATTATTCGGGTAGGAACGGTACCGGTATGCTGTTGAGTTCATCGGTCGACCCATGGGAAACAGGTCACACATGAATGACCCGACAAGGAAAACCTAGTAGTAATCTAAGGAATGCAAAAAAGGTCATGTTGCAATGGGCCCCTAACAAACACCTTAGAGGGATCAGTTTACACAGCCCCAACGCTTCCGTCCTGCGCGCAGAAATCGTACTCGTCACCTCCGGCGTGGCCACGTTTTACATCTCTGCGAGCTCAGAAGTACTCTCCCCAGAAGTACTCTCCCGGTCACTTTACCTTCGTGTTATCTGGATGCCTTTCCTTTCCCCTTCGGGTTGCTGGATCCCTTCCCTTCCTCTTTGACCTTCGCGTCTCTTGTATGCCCGCTCGATCCTTCTTCTGTTGGCGCCCAATTTGGCCAGAACTCGTCGCCATCTTTGGCCCCAGGGTCCATCCCCATCAGGGTCACATCACCATCGTATATACTCCCTGATTGCAACCCCGTTTCCAGCACTGACTGCCACATACCCGCGTTCTCCTGAACAGCTCCAAGTGCTAAGAAGGGCACATAGATGTCCCATGTCACTAGCTCATCGTCGGCATCTTCGTATTCCATCACCACCAAATCTGTCTCCTTGGATTGCAATGAGAAGATCATTCGAATGACAGGCTTGTACTTGTTCTTGTGTTTGGGCGCGGGTGTTGATTCAGCGTCATGGTAATCATGCATCTGCCGCACAATGCTGTTCATGTTGTCGAACGCGCTCTTTGGGGGTATTTGCATGCCGGCCTCAGCGTTGGTTTGAATGATGGCAAAGCTGGTGTTATCGGGCGTGATCTTCGTCTCATCGATGGTGTAGGGGAAGGCGCCGTCTACACCCGGTTGGGCGAATAGCGTCGAAATTGCGGCACGTCTGGTAAGGTACCGATACAACGAATTCGACCTCGGCACGTTACCATAAACCTTGATGACGTGATTGAAGTTTCCAAATGAGTTTTCGAATGTCTGTTCAAATCTTTCCGGGTGGAATATTCGCCCATGCGATGCTTGAGAACTCTTGAGCGTCATCCACGAGACATCAGTGAGCAGACACTTGAAGAAAGCAGGTATTGAAAATTTGCCATATTTAGTGGCAGCATCGCTGGCGAGGATCATAAGGAGCGCGGCGACCATCTGACCACGGTCATCGACACTGATCCCGGGAGAGACAAAAATCCTTCGGAGGGCATCTGCTGCATTGAATGTGGCCATTGCAGCCTTGGCGCCCTCCGAGATGATTGGCTCACTCGGAGATCCAGTGATAAGTGTTTCGTTATTGTCGGTTATTCGGTAAAGCACACGCATGTGCCGAGCAATCTGCTCATTTATCGTCCTGAGGGATGCACTTGTGTCCGTTTGCATATGAATCGGGATCCGTCGTGCTAAAATCGCCAGCTTTTGCCCATCATCGAAATCCAATCCGTATGATGCGCCGACCAGTTTCTCCATGGCGAATGACCCCAAATTCTCGCCTACATCGCTGTCAACGCCGTGCTCAGCCCGTGTGCGAAACCTTAAGCAGTGCCAAATCAGGTCGTGCTCAGTTCCCATTTACGGGCAAAAAAGCTTACAATATCCTCGACTGCTTGCACATAAAGTCATCCCTGCTCACCAAGGTCAAATCCATCTCGTCCGGTTGTATTCGTGTCATGTTCAACGGCAAGCTGGTGAATGCTGGCAAGCTGCGATACAACCCCGACTGCATGCGGCTTGATGGATTCAACCGCATCGGGGGCGCAGACTGTTCGACGATGCTGGTAGACGTTGAGATGAAGCATGACATCTGTGGCTTCTCGTCCAGATAGAGCAAAACTCGGCGCAATACTGAGTATATGGAAGCCTCGTCCTCGCGTCGGCCAACCCTCTGTAAAAGCGTATGCCCTTCATCAAATGCAAGCAACAGACTGGGTAGAGGTGACTTGGGGTCATGCTCTAAAAGAGCCGAGAGCGTGCTGAATGAATCTATCATCTCAGACTTGCGCGATCGCTCTTTGGTTGACACCTCAGATGATAGAATCCGATCTCCATCTTTTTCGGGTGGAGAGGCGTGTGTTGCACGTATGTCTTGCATCTACTGTAGATGAGTGAGATGTTCTCGTGCACATAAAGAAGAGCCTAGCGACCTCTTCTGCTTTCTTGACCACACGTGTGAAGAAGTCCACCCGTGCCGGGCTAGGGTCATACATATGAGTCCAGGTCGCCAGGTAGCCACGAAACCAGTATGCTAATTCGGCATGTTTTTGTGTCCCCGCTTCTTCTTGTCGATCCTTCAGCAGCGTGATCAGTTCATCGTATAGTGTCTTGAGAAAGCATATCATGGCGGTTTCACATTCGTTCACGGTCCTTGTACGCTGGAAGTATGCCAGCACATTGCTGTCCGGAGGAGGAAAGCCTGCAACCACGGCCTCATCAGCACCGCAACTCCGCGCTGCTCAGCAAAATAGCGCACCGCCGCGTGCATCCCTGAGCACAAAAAGGACGGTGAATAGTGTCTTGGACGATTCATCAACCATACGACTCTTGCCCATGCCAGAAGAATTGACAATCACAAAGCTTTTTCCGTAGAGGGACGATCCGGCGCCTGACAGCTCACAGCAATGGGCAATGTGTTTGTGAAAGAGGTCCACTCCATTTCCTTCATATTCAGAGGCCCATGACTTGACTGTGGCTAACTCAAGCATTACGCCAGTCAATGATATGAGGTCTCACAGGGTAAAATCATACCTTTTTCCTGCGCTCTGACTGAAACTAGGTGCATCGTTGACCGTTTGCGGGTATCTGCGACCCTGGGAGGATGGATTGCATCTGATGGTTCAAAAAATGACAGATAAGCCACAAGGCAGACGGAGCACACTATATAGAGACGCACCATAGAGCTTACCCAACTCAATGGGGAGGACTGCTAGGTCTCGTTCAACCGCCCTCACGATCTCTAGTGCGAGGTTTCGCAGCGCGGCCGAGATTTCATTGCCCTCTTCGATCATTGACAAAGTCAACTCGTCCACAAGCTCTTGTTCTAGCTCGGTCTTTTCATCCCCTTCCTCGACAACATCTAAATGTCGGAGGTTTCTCGTCCACGAGCTGTGCGATCGCATCCACCGTTTGACGTAGGTTTCACGCACCGAGTCGAGATCACCACGAAGTCTCTTGGAGTTATCCATCTCTGAGTCTTCATCCCGTGGATGTTTAAGATTTCTTCTTGTAGCCATCGTATAGCATCTGTTCACGAGGAGGAAGCTTGTCAACTCCCGGTGTCGGTGGTTTTCGCGTTGGTAGGGTCCATAGCGGACATACTGAGGTCTTTCCTCCGATGCCCCGCATTCGGAAGCAAAGCTCCAACAATGGTCTCCAATTGTAGTGGCGGAGATACCGAGGTATTTCCTCCGATGCCCCGTTTTCGGAAACACCTGTTATGCCCCAATGCCCTCTTCTTCAAGGGATCACGGCGTTAGTAGCTTAGAAGCTGTGCTGAAAACACCACAAGGGAAAATGGGTCACCTAGGGGTCCTGGCCTCTGCTTGACCAGAGTTAATTCTTAATTCACTTAGAAAATTATGAAGAAAGAAACTCAAAGAAAAAAATCAATAGATATAAGTAATAAGACATATAGAGAGACTTTTTCTCAATTTTTCACAGCATGTATTCTCAGATAAATGAGCATGCTTATAAATTGGACCCCTGAGCTACCCTTTCACACTTCAGGGATTTTAGGTAAGCTTCTCAGCTGCTAACACCAGCCGGTACTGTGATCCCTTGAAAAAGACAGGGCATTTTGGGAAAATGCATCTGGAGGGGCATAACAGGTATTTTGTTTTCGAAAATGGGGCATCAGAGGAAATACCTCCAGAGATACCTTATTTGCACCATGTTAATTGTTAATGGCTCAACATTGATCAATAGCTTGGCCCCTGGGACTTGGAAGCATATATCTGCATTGTAGAATAATATCAGAGGGAGCTCTGGACCAATAAGATGCCCAATTGGACATTTTGTATCCAGACATGGAATGGTCCTTTGCTGCAAAGGCTGGGGTCTGTTCATTGGCACACATGTTGTGTGCTACAACCTGGCCAAGGGGCTGACATGACCCAGGGATACCCGTACTTGACACAAGCCAAAGAGTGCACATGAGGTGTATTAATTCTATCCATACAGATCTGCTTCATCTAGTCTATCCCCCCCCTGGCCACCAACTCAGTCCTTCAACAGCACCCTCGGGGTAAGGTTGAATGGCAACAAGCCAGCCATGACCATCAGCTCATCCCCAACATTCACAAGATTGACAAGCTTCTTTTCCAGGTTTGGGCAGGTGGCACATTCCAGCTGCAGAGGGGCTTGGAGGTACAAGCTGCAGCCATTGACAGATAGGGAGGGTTTCTTTGCTTGTCTGTCCAAGGGTGAGTATATATAAAGGGAAGGAAGAGAAGGAATATGCACATATCCTGCCTCTCTACAAGAGCCCTGATAAGTCTCTCAAGCATCCATTCCTTCTTCACAGGCATATCAATCATCTCCCCTCCACAAATGGGACACTCCAGCCTCCTCTCATGTTGAAACATATACTAATACATGCCCTCTGTACCAATCAGCATAAAGTAGTTGTCCAGCCTTGGTGCGCAGTTTGTCATCAGCTTGAATGCCTCTGTACAGCAGGAAGCAGCAATCACCACATTTGTACTCATGATTGTGGGGATGATGTTCTTGACAATGCCTTGGGTGAGAGACCAGGTGATGCCTTCGATCTTGAATTCATGTGTGTGGGTAGAGGTGTGCATGAAGAGCCACTGGATGTGCTCCAGGTCGTCAGTATTGAGTTTCTTATCTGTACAAAGTGAGCATGTAAACTCCTCCTTTTAGGGGAAAATACACCTGGGAAGACTTTGGGCCACTCTAGCATGCTCACCCATTTGATACAGTGTTCCAGCAGCCTAGGAGTATTCACAATTGTACAGATGGGGAAGACAGTCTGCTTGTTAAGCATATCCAAGCTGCATTCATAACAGCTCATGATAGAAGGTAGGATGACCCTTGCCTGGCCTTTGAGGCCCTCTGTACCACTGTCAATCATCAGCTTGAGACTCTCTGGCATGTCAGGATTGACCATTGCCACAGGTGTAGCATTCATCCATCTCCTAGCTTTGACACTATCTGTTAGGGCAACACAGGCTGACTAAGTCTGCTCACCTAAGAGTGCCAAGAGTCTAA